CGTTTTTCTTCGTTCTGATTGGGCATCTGAAATTTACAGCAGTGAACCATCTGATTGCTGGGGCAATAGTACCAACTCCTACTGCAATGGTCTGTGTAATAAGAATTAAGATGGTCGACCACTCATAGTCAGACTCTCCGGTGCAAAATTTGAATGACCAGGGCATCAAGTAAGATCGCAGCATGGCCTCTGCTAAAGTCATAGCACCAAGGAGACAGAATGCACCTGCGGCCGTGCATGTAACTGAACGGCCAACCACGAACTGGGGGTTGCAGGTATGAGCCATCATCCAGAATTTCATTATATCTTCTTTGAGTTCCCTGTCTTCCCTTTTGCTGGTTTCATTCGAGTCTTCTTTCAGAGCCATACCATACTTCTTGTTATATTTATATTGGAAATAATTTTTATTTACCGGCACAGTTAAAGCCGAAAAGCTTAGGATTACAAGCAAAATAAGCATTAGAAACATAATTAAAGCATGCTCTTTCCAGTGAAGATATATTACACCAGTGCCTAATTGGACTCCCGTATTAACAATAACAGTTACAACGAGTATTCCTAAAGCAATAATATTTGTGCATAAATCATTGTTTTCCATAGTTCCTAGAGAAGGCATAGAATTACCCATTACTGTACAGAGCAAGGCACCACTGCTAAGTTTTGCGAGCTGATCAACGCGGCGAGGCATAGCAGTGTTTAGATCCACTGACAATTTGACTGCCACAGCTATTATGGTCAGTGAAGTGGCATTAATGGAGAAGAATTTGCTCGGGAACCAGAACTTCTGTTGGCGGAAGCCACGGATGAAATCCGCAGCCATAGCAATTGCACAGGCCAGAGATGCCACTGCTATGTAGAGACCAATCCATGGTATAGGTTCACTGAACTTTGCTTCATTCAGACCCCCATCGATTCCACAGCCCAGTTTCCCCATCTGTATGTTTCACTTCCGGTGTTTTACTGAGTGAGTCTGGTTTTGCTGCCAAATTGGCTGGTTGCTTCAGGTTCGCAGCTCTCTTACCTCCTTTATTATAGACATCCTATGCTTTCCAGTTAATTTGTATGTGGCAATGAATGACTGTTGGATATATTTCAATCGTTTGTATTGGCGTCCAAGGAGTGGATTGTCTTTTGATTCCTCAGGGCAGCTAGGTTTTTTTTTTTGTTATATTTGGCTATGGCAGCCAGTAGATTAAACCGTTTTAGAACCTCCAGTATTGAAAATTATCTCGTTGGGTCCAAGTGACCCTAAAGTCAATTCCTTGCAATGCTGCGTTAAAAGTAGGCTAGGCTGCCGGCTTGACAATGGAAATCGGTGAAATCAATTTTTTATTTAATGATTTTACTCTGTTTTTTTTAAGTATTTTTTATTTTAAAATATATAAAAATAATATTTTTTTATTTTTTAATATTTATTTTCAATATCATCTCATTAAAAAATTGAAAGCATTAAAAATAATAATTCAAAATAAAAAATTCAAAATATTTTTAAAATAAACTGCTCTAAATAGATATTACTTCCCATCGATTCCTTTGAGGGCAGGGATTTGATTAGTTCAACTTAAGTTGAGTGAAAAATCATGATACATTAAATTGTGTTTTGTGAATGCCGGTTTTCCACATCACTTATCACTGTTACTAAGATATTGTTTTTTTTACTGTAATAATAAGAGTTTTTATTTGAAAATATATTAAAATAATATTTTTTTTATTTTTTAAAATTTATTTTTTATATCAGAATATTAAAACAATGTAAAAAATTAAAAAAATATATTTACATAAACATGTTCAGCTGATGTATCATGATAGCAGTCGACATATCATGATAGTTGCCGGAACCGCGCAATTGTAAGAATGAGGATGGCTGGCGTACTTGAAGCTGTCAGATGGAATATTTTACTGCAATATGGTGCCGTGACATTTGGTCAAATGGAATAGCCTTTTTTATATATATATATAAAATTATTGGAACAATCCACCAAGGGTTGGCTTAAGGTGCGTCAGTGATATTTACCTAAAAAAAAAAAGCATTCAAGTAAAAATAATAATTATTTATTGTCAAAATGAAAACGAATGAGTAAAATTGATCCCAATAAGTGGAATGTATCAAGTTTGAAGATTCCTAATTAACTCAAAAAACTTGAAAGCATTTGATTAAATAACCAATACAAAAATTTAAATTTATGTAAATAGCCAAGGTTCAATTTTAACTAAAATAGAAATTCTTGACAAGTTAAACCCATGAATAGTATAATTTATTATGATTTAGGGAATAAAAAATTTAGTTTCCATTAGGATTTAATATACCTTCTTATTTAATATATGTTACTTATATATAATTAGAATTATAATTTGAGTTAGATGTTTAGATAAGAATCAAACATTATACCAATTGAAATAGGATCATCCATCTAATAAGAAATATGAGCAATCCTATAGATACAATTTATTTCTATAATTTATTTAATCTATCTTTTTTTATAGTATAATTGATTAGAAAATTCATAATTGATTAATTGATTAGTAGATAATAAATCACACAATTATGTGTCAAATTAATATATCAACATGTCTAGTATGATAAGATTAAGTATTTATTTTATTAACTACCACCAAAGAAGAATATAAATAAATTTATCATTGTAACACCTAATAATCAAATATTATAATTAGCAAATAAAAATCATTTTCTTGGTTGAGAAGAACATGAAAATCCACCATCACCACGCGTCCTTATGAAACAACTAATATTAAATATGTCATTATCTAACTTGTTTTTATAATATAAAATTACATTTAGACAAAACCATGATATCCATATACAATATTTTATATATTTACCATTCTTAATGACAACATCATAATCAACCATAAAGAAGTATGTTGGTGCATATATTGGTGCCCATGAGTATTCTTTGTATGATGAGTACCAGCTAGCCATAGCTCCTTCTACATGGGCATCCTTCATTAAATCTTTGTGATATTGATGTGAGGATCATTTAGATAAAAATGAAGGATACAATGAACATGACTTACCATAATAATATTAAATCATTCATTAAAATTATGCATGCTATACATGATATATTGAATTAGATTCAAAACGAGTTATGACAAACTAGATCTAGAATCTCATATACTCATACACCTAGAAAACAAGTTTTAGTAAGTTATATAGTCATAAGTACTTTATTAGGGGATGTTTAAAAGCACAATGGCTTACACAGGGTATAACATGCCAATGCATTAGGCACTGTAACAACCATATCAAAGCCTAGATAATGGTCATCATTGATACACTAGTTGTCTGGTAAGTATACAAGTAACCACATATCAATTATTTGGCTCAATAATCCTATTACCAACTATAATAACATGTCATAAGATAGTTTAATATTCTATATATTGTTTTGCACTAGAGGAAACCCAATCCTCTAGTGTAACAAGCCTTTACTAATGATTAACAACATGAGGAATAATAAATAGGGTTGAATAGCTTGAATAAGGCTAATAATTAAATGAAAATATAGACGAACATCTAGATCTAGTTATAATTGTTCATATTGAGAATAGGTTGATAAGTTACACCAAATTTCTAGAGGAATAAATATCATTAATTCTAAAATAGATTTAGAGTAAAGAGTATCAATCAACAAAGGAATGCATTGCCAAATTTATTAATTAATTTGATAATGGTGCCACAAATCTCTTCATGAAACTAAGACTAATTGATTTATCATTGACTAATATAGTCTTTTAGTGGTTCTCTACATTGCCACCTAAATTTATTAAAAGTTGAAAGATAAAAACTCATTTCTAAGCGCATTTCTATAAAATAGAATTAAAAATAACATTGATTAACTTAGCCAAGATAATTTAAGATCCTATTAAAAGTTATACTTTTCGATTCAATAATCTAAAAATTAAGTGCACACTATAATGAAAAAATAACGCATTAAACTCATTTCAAAAGAGATGTAGTAGAATATAAAAAATTATTCATAGAAAACTAATACCTATACATTTACATGTTTACAAATAATGTTGTTCACTGCAAAATAGTACTAGCAAAACGAGTAGAAACAATAATTAATACAAACTTACTCAATTGGCTATCTAAATCATATCTTAAACATTCATTTAAGGTTAACTCAAATAGTATTTAAGGTTAACTCAAATAGTATTGTTGTGTTGTTGTTTTTTTAATGTTCATGAATTTGTTATTTATCAAACTAAAAAGTTGAAAGCTTGCCTTTGTTGTTACTATTTCTAGTGCATCAAAACAAGAAACCATCTTGTTAATCTTATCAATTTCTGCGACAATAGTAGGTATTTTCTTTATTATTAAATTAGAGATAAAAAATCTTATATTGTCTGGAAAATAAATAATAACATTTAATTAGTTAAATTTATGACTCACTTGTTTTTCATGTAGGTGAATGGAAATGATTGATTCGTTATTTATAATTGAAACTTGCTTTCATAATTATAATAAGTGTTAGCTTGAAAAACAATGTTTCTCACAGGAAAAAAAAATGGTTTTTTCAAAATAAAAAAGTTAGGTTTTTTTAATATATATATATATTAATTTTTCTTCTTTGCTGCTTTTTATTCAATGAACTATGTTGCTAATAACAAAAATCCTTTTGTTGTCAAAACAAAAAAAAACATTACTTAAATCATAAAAAATAATTTTGAAATTTATTTTTCAAATTTGTATTTTTATTTATATAATTAAATAAAAATAAATTATAAAAAGCAAAGTTATTAAATGCGAGCACCTACTTCACGAGTTAATCTGCTTAATTTAGATTTATTAATGTCAATCCAAAGCATTATTATTCTAGTATTTTTTTTATAACAGATATTAAACTGATATTATTTTTATTTTATTTTAAAAAAATTCAAGTAAAATTTTAACGAGATCAATTACATCATTAATGCACCTGGGAGTTAACGGGGTCCTACTAGATGCACTCACATCCAATTTTCTTTGAATCCCGGACATGCCAGATGCCAAGTCGGCTTGTATACGCAAGCCCAGCCAAACAAAGAAAAAAAGACCCAAAACACTAGCCTGCCCTGGAGAACTCTACTCAACCAAATTCCAGAGAGCTTTTTCGTTGCTTCAAGCTTCGATCGATTACTATTGTCAGACATTGAGAGTAAGTTAAAAATCCCTCCCCTAATTCATTCAATTTTTTGTTTTCTGTGATCTTACTCAGTTACTTTATTTTTAATCAATTTCCTTTGCTCAACCCTAAACACAAATAAAAAAAATGGTGACCTTTTCAATTCCAATGCTCTAGGGTTTGAAAATTGCTCCTTTCTTGGTAATTATGGATTGTGTAATCCCGAATTAATTAAATTTTGCAGGTGATTTGGAAGTTATATTTTTTTATTTAGATTATGGGAGGTCATGGAGGTCTTAACATTCTTCCTCAAAAGAAATGGAATGTTTACAATTACGAGAACAGAGAGAAAGTTAGGAAAGATGAAGAAGCTGCTGCGAGAGATGAGCAACTAAAGCGCGAAGAGGTGAGAAAGCGTGACGCTGAGTTTCGCCTTGAGCGCCTTCGTGCTGCTCGTGGCTTACCTCCCATGCAAAAACCTGAGGAGCCAGTGCCTGTGGTGGAAGCTGAGGCTTCCATATCGGAGCCTAAATCCAACCACATTAATCTCTTTGAAGGGATTAAGATTTTCGACCCTGTTATGGGATTGGAGAAAGAACGAGGTGATGAGGGAGAAGGGTCTAAGAAGAAAAGGAAGATGATGAAGAAAGAGGAGGTGAGGATTGTGACTGCAGAGGATGAGAAGTATAGGTTGGGATATGGAGTTGCCGGGAAAGGAGTTAAGTTGCCTTGGTACCTTGAGAAGCGGACTGATGAGGTGAATAATAAGGAGAAGGGTGAAGATGATGGGTCGACAAGAGGGAAGAAGGAGGTGGGAAAGAAGAGTGGCAAGAAGACTTTGGAAGAGTTAAGGGATGAGAGATTGAAGAGGGAGAAGCGCGAGAAGGAGAGGGAAAGAGCTTTGTTGGTAGAGAAGAGCCGAAGAGATGGATCTTGTTTGAAGGAGAAAGGATTTTCAAGGAGATCTGTTTACTGAAAATTCAGGTCAGCACGAGGACATGAAAAGAGCTCTGTTCTTAAGCCATATGTTTTGGCTCTTATTAACAATATATTTGCATTTTTCAAAATGTGGCTGGAATAAGCATTTTGTTCTCAGCCTCTATACTATCCTGTTCCTGTGAAATGTTTGTTAGCTCATAGTTGATCTAAGCAAAGTGGTTCTATGAAAATACGGCTGAAACAGTATGTGCAACTGATGTTTATTTGGCATGTGCTACTGTTGAGAATGATGTTGCCCTAGATTATATAGCGGCCGCATGCTTGATAGTGATGCTTGAATTTATTATATTTCACACTTCTAAATTAGCTGAAATGTTGAGTACTTGAGAACCTTTTGATAGTGTGATTGTGCTAATTTCATTGATCCTGACTTGTCATCTCATAATCACCTATTTGGGCATTGTTCTTCTGCATGGAAAATGAATATTGGGTTTAATGTAATCGAAAAGCCTGTGCATCTCTAGGGTTTGAGTTACCTGATTTGAAAAGGTGATGCCAGTTATCATATTTTGTTGCCTAAAATGTGCAGTTTTGCATTTGTTTGTGGAAGCTCCGTTGAGCATTTACCTTGGTTTGTATTTCTCTGTCTTCTCCAGATATTGTTGAGACTGCATGCCTAGTTCGAATGCTATTACATGTTTGTGTTTGTTGTCTCTCAGAAAGGTCCCTTTTGCTGTCATTTTATCACATTGTTAAAATTCAGTGCAGTTCCAAATCTATTGTTCAATTAATGAATTTTATAGGGACAATGTTTAGATCCTTGACCTACTTATTTAAAGGGTTTCATGGCTCATTTGAAGTATTTTTTTTCTCCTCTCTGATCTAGTTGATCTTTTTCCATCGATTTGTGAAAACCTATAAAGATAATTTTTGATTTCTTCTTCACGGGCTTAATATGCTTAACTTATGTGAAACAACAGCCTGAGTTTGAGGCTTATGAAGCAGTCATGACCTTGTAGTTTGGCTGTTATCTTTTAGTTTCCCCTTTTTCTCATAGTTGTTGATGTGATTTTCACATACTAGTGGCCTTGACCTTCTAGTCTCCATTTTTTTATTTTATGGTTGTATTTAGATGCTCTGGATATGCCTACAGGGCATGCCTTAACTTCTAATTTTACATGTCTTGGAGATGTCAACTTCAACTTGTGTTAATCCACTTATATTGTTCAATATGATTTTAGAATCGCTGAGAATTTAGATGTTGGAGAAAGTAGTAGTCAGCAGATTGACTGTTCTCCCCTTCCCATGCAGGTCGGTCCTGGTTTCTGTAAATGGATATAGGGCTGTGAGATTCTCACAATTTGTATGGAAGTGTTACATGGAGATTATTCGTCTTGAGCTCATTATTGTTCTTGTAAATCCAGGATTCAGAAATTCAGGTACAACTCTCACAGCAATCTGAGAACCAAGGAGTAAATAGTGTGGTCTTTTTTACCATAATTCATGATTTTGCACCAGCATCTTCAAAATGGTGCAGAAGTGTTGCAGGGAAATCACTTGATGATGAAGGTGATGCATTTTATCTAAGTGGTCAAAGAGAGGAAAGAAAGTCATTACTCTGTTATTTGTACCTGTACCCGTTCCATGTGTTCCGTCTGCGGTTATGCAGACTGGAGATCAAGCACTTAAAAAATGTGGATGCATCTTTATCTGAATAGGCATTATTAGAGTTATTATTGACAGAAATTCCCAGTGTGCGATTCTTTATTCACGAGATAGTATGTATACTTGGCTATTCTATTGGTACATAGCAGCTAGATAGATCATGTTTCTCCGGAGGTGGATTGACAAATCACTGTTACTCGTAGAAGAAAAACTAGATTTGAGCTAGCCTGTTCCAGAATGTTTCTGTTATTTTAGAAAACAACAGCTTGTTCTGGGTGGGTGGCTCCCAGACCGTTAAATAGAAATTCTAGCTGAGCCCCTTATGGCAAGATGTCCTTGAATTTCTACGCTGACTGCTGGTTCAGAATAACCTGTATGTGCGTGCTAATCCCAACCAAGGAAGTTTCATTATTCCAATTCAACTTGATTTCTGATTTGATTTTTGTTATATAGGTGCAGCTTCTACAATTATTTAGCTTCATGCAAGGTTATGGCGAGATTCATTTGGACTTTTGCTACGCATGTGTAGCTGCTAAGCATAGGCATGAGATAATGCGCGTGTTCAGTGACATTAACCATGGATAAAACTGAATTTTAACATCATATATTAATTCCTTTTTTTAATAAACCAAGTGGAGATTTGAATTTCTCAACTGAGGGTATTTTTGTTAGTTTATATGAAAACTAAACCTAAAATATAAAGAAATACTGATCTAATTCTCGAATGAATAATAATAAAATGTTCAGGTAATGCTCTAATGTACATGGTCGTCAGGATGCACCGAGATGTGTCTATAAAACAATTCTTCTTACCGTCCCGAGTATCGATTTGTCCCTGGTTGTCTTGCTTTGTTGTTGGATCAACGGAGTTTTATAATCCAACTAAGCACAGATTTGGATGAGGAAGGAATGATAAGAACATGAAGCCCGCAAGATAAAAAGGCAAAAAGCTTGGAGCGTCGAGTCTTGGTGGCCGTAGCAAGCCTAAGAAATCCAATTTCAACCAAATTTTTTGATAGTACTACCACTTTCAATAACGAGAGGTTTACCTGATGATTAAAACAAAAATACACTATCATCCAAAATAATAAAATTATTTTAAAATATTTTTTTAGTGCTTTTATATCATTTTAATATTCTGTATCAAAAATAAATTTTAATAAAAAAATTATTTTAGTATATTTTCAAACAAAAAATACTTGAAAATATAATTTTTACCGTACTGTAAAAAAGACCTTAACTACCATTGATTTCTAAACATCTATTTTTTAATTCATTTTTTTCATCAATTAATTTTCATGCAACTTCCTAGATACTAGATACTTTAAGTTATTAAATAAATATGATGGATTTTTACGGGTCATAATTTTTTTAGACTCAATTTTTCATTGCCATTCTTATATTTTTCTCATTTCTCTCTTATATTGATTGACTTAATTATTTAAGAATATCTTGTGAAGTATTTATTTTTCACATATAATCAATCTCAAATGCCAAATCTATATTAAGTCTCACACATTTTAACCTCAGATGGCAACATGAGAAAAACACAATTTTCATGCGAAGATTTTTCATAACTTCATCATTAAATATAAAGTGAACCCCAAATAACTTTTATCACAAAAAAAGGGAGGAAAAAAGAGTGCATTTTCTTTCAAATATTTATTTGACCAACAAATATCTTAAAATATTAATATTTGGAATTTTCAAAGGCGAGTATCAAGGCAATGACCATCAAACTGTGCTATCAAATATTCAACCAAGCAGCTTGTAGCTCAGTGGCGTAAGACGCTGCTCGCTTTCTTTCGCACTTCGGTTTGAGTCCCAGTGGCAGTGAGGCTGGCGAGTGGTTTCCTTCCTATGTCTGCTGGCTCCTCTCTGTGTGGTACGCCTGTCACCCCCGCAATGCCTTAACTGTTCACTGAGCTTGTAGGATGTTCAGTGGACTGTGAGATTAGTCGTGGTACGCGTAAGCTGGCCCGGCCCCCCACGTTAATAAAAAAAAAACAAAATATTCAACAAAGCATGCATCAAGGGGAATTGACAAACTAGTAGCAGCTAGTTACATTTTCAACCCACAAAAGTCATGTTCATAATTTAGGCTTTCCATGGTTTATTTAAGAATTAATGAACCAGACCAGGTTTCTAGGTTGAAGGCACATGACTTCACCGTCAAACTATTGACCTTATCATCTCGCTTTCCTTGGACTTACCTATATAATGGAGTCGGTTTATGTTGCTCTAGACATAATTCATGTAATGGTTTAAATAATAATACTTCAGAAAAAAATATAATATCATTGAATTCCCTAGCTAACCTTAAATGATGCCTTAAAGGGGACTTCCAGCTCTTAAAGTTATAATATGAAGTTTTTCAGGATGCTGAGACCAATTTCTTATTCGATTACTAATTAATGTTTGTTTGTTTCTTTTAATTTTACAATTAATTTGTTGAAGAATTGGTAGTAATTGATTCAATAATATTAAAAGCAACATCGAGTTTCAATATAAATTTTACCTTAAATTTGTTTTTAATATATATATATATATATATATATATATAATGGTCATGAGAAATGATCATAAAAAAATAAAGACTTTATAAGATTATTTGCTAGATAATTTGAAATGTGATAGGTTATGGTTTCTCAAATCAATCTCATTTAACAAATAACGCAGGAAAGTCATAACATGAAATATAACTATATCTTTTTAGATATCCGGTTTCACAATTGAGCCTGGGTATGACCACGCCCAACTTTATGTTGGACACGGATGCATCTACTCCTAGCTATCTCCTTGGCTTGGGTGCGTGAATTAAGCTCAAGATGGGTGTGGAGCTGAAGATTCACTCTATATTAAGCCCTCTATACCCAAAACCCAAAGCTTGAATTAATAATTATGATACCCATCATAATATTATTAAATATAAATAAGTAGTTCATACTTATATTAATTAGATATGATGGTATGAGCAGTATAATAATATTATTTTACTATTATAAGATTATATCTTTACCTCTCCTACGTTGTATAAAGTAAATTAGATCAGATAATATAAAAAAAAAAAACATGAATATACAAGAAGGGGTTCGAAACACCTTATACTCAAAAGACAAAACACATTCTTGATTTCTTCTTCCTTCTTCTTTTCTTTATCTTCATAAAAGGTTATTAATACTTTCATTAATGTCTTTTGCTACATAAAAAATACCTAACATTGACTTAATTTTTGAAGGGTCTCCCATCAACACCGTCGGGAGACTTCGTTAAGGTATTTATTCAAGAAAAATATGATATTCTCTCAAAGAAAGATTTATCCAAGAAAAAGCCTGCGTGATCTTGAAGTGGAAGTCATTGAATACACCATAAAGGATATAAGATTATTTTAAGAAATAAGTCACCCTAGAATATTTCCTATGATTTTTATAACCTTGTCAAAATGAAAAACTTATTTTCTTTAAAATATTTTTTTGAAATCAAAGTATAGAAAATATATCTTATTTCTTTTACAAAAAAACGAAAGACTCGTACATCAGCAAATTTAACTAATTGATAAACATATGAAGAATATTTGAAGTTATATGTTAAGTCATATCAATTAATAAAAATTAATAATAACAGAAATGCCAAAAAACTTGAAGAGAGTGATAAAATAAGCACACAAAATTATAATATTGTTTTAATTAATATAGATATCCGAACTACTTACACGTACCTTAACTAATAAATTCTATAATTAATAATACAAGATTGTAATATATACATAGTATTGTTATTTAGTTTACATAAGAGAGTAACATGTTATCTATATAACTAGAGTCATTCGGTATTTTAAAATGGTGTATGCACATTCTTCTAAACAAAATTATAATATTTTAAATTTAAGATGGGATATCTGAAATAATTAATTTCTGCTTGGGCCTTGATCCATGGCAACTACTCAAAGCAAAAACGATAAAATACGTGACTCCTTCATTTTTGGTCAAGTTCCTAGGAACCGAAAGAGAAGTAAAACCATTGAAGTTTAAAGATCTACCAAACAATAATTTAAAAACAACTGTAATCTTATAACCCACGGGAAGCTTTGAACTGAAATCACGTGGTTACTGACACCAAGAGGCGGTATATTTCTTTCTTTTTTATCTATGGCTGCAATTGCAAGGACATGTTCTCAGCACATGACATACCTAAGCTAGCGATGTAAAGACTCGATGAATAGCAGTCTAACGTCTTTTTTTTCACCCCCTAGTTTCTTGCAAACCCTAAGCTCCTCCTTCATATCATTCGGACTGGTTAAAAGCAGAACCAGACCCATCTTGCAAGCAATCTTTGATCTATCTTTTAATTTTTGAAGAAATAAGGTTAAAAAAATGCGTACTTGGGGCAAAGGATGTAATTTAGAAAAGCAAAATTGAAAATATGATTTTTTAAATAATGTGAATATATATTTTTTTTAATGTGCACTCCAATATAGAAAGTCATTTAGAAAAAAAAAATGTATTTTAATATATTTATTATATTATTATTTTAATAATATAATACGATGAAGTTGATATAATGAAATTAAAAAAAAAAAAAACAACTCAAATTAAACATATAACATGAACTATGAAATCATGATAATTTTATAAAAAATAAAAAAATATAAATTTAAAAAAAATAGTGAAAAAAATATACTATTACAGTGTTTTAATATTTTTACAAGATGTGTAAAAATATTATTTTTATAAAAATAATATTTTTTTAAAAGTATGAAAATGAAGTAAAGAAAAGTCAAAATATTATTTATTTATGGCTCTGCACCTGGTTTGTTGTTGCTCTTTCGACCATGACAAGTGAGCTTCTCGAGGAAAATGCATGTGTATAAAGTGTCTCTCGTCTGGGTAGATTGTCGAGGCAGGAAGTCAAAGCATTTCTGTCCCCTTCTTTTGTTTTTCAATTAAATATTTCCCCCATTTTATCAGAAACACAAGCGCCCCCTGCACCTTTGAATTATCTTTCCTTTATTTTCAGTTATTTACACGATAATAATGTTGAATCACTCATCTGATGAAAATATATACTCATGAAAAACTGCA